GCACGGGCCTTCACTCTGCGAACAGTGGGCTTCAACCACCTCACCCTGTAAGTGCTCTAGTGCCTCTGTGACTTTGTAAAATCAAAATTTTTTTTTTTTAAATGGAACAGTTTATTGAACCTTTAGACAAAATATTTTTAAAGAATCCAAAACACTTGCATATGTGTTTTTTGTTGAGTATCATATTTGATACATCAGACTGTTTCGGCTCATATAACATGACATAAGAGAATATGGAGATCTTAGCACTTTTAACCTTTATGAAGTTATTCTTAAGTCTAGGAATAAGAGAAAAATTGACATTCTTGAGACTACAATTTTTCTCTGAGCTTTATACATATGGCCCCTGAAGAGTTTATAAATCTGGATCCAGCTGGTTGTCGTGGCCCAGATAGCATATGCAGCACATAATGCATAAAATTAAACAGTCATTCGCTTGTTTGCTGGCGGGTCCGGCGTAACTGCCAAATGTTTCAAAAACAGTGCCTGTGCTCCCTAAAATGGTGAACCCACATGGTGATTAGGCCCCACAGAGACAGGCCGTTTTTCCACAGCCAGGAACTACGCAACAGTAATCTTATCATTGGTTAACTATCGACTGGGGCTTCATGCAGCCACTGTATCTGTCTGCAGAGGCCACAACCAGAGGATGGAGTTCCTGGGAGATTCTATCATGCAGCTGGTGGCAACAGAATATCTGTTCATCCACTTCCCAGACCATCATGAAGGACATTTGACAGTGAGTATATCCCTCATCTGTTCTTCATTTCATTTTCTTTTCTTTAACTCTTTAACTTCTTTAATGATGCATAGTGTGTCCACTAAAGTCATTTTTAAAAGCCATTTTAAAAGCCATCCTGTGCCAACAAACTCCCTGGTTACCCCTACTCTATAGTACAAAAAATCTAGCCATTTCAGTCACTGTGTTGGTCAGCCCGTATAAAACCCGAACGTATAAAGTGAGTTCATTTGTGTGATTTTAGCTACTGCGCAGCTCCTTGGTGAATAACCGGACTCAAGCAAAGGTTGCAGAGGAATTGGGCATGCAGGAATATGCTATCACCAACGACAAGACCAAACGGCCTGTTGCCTTGCGTACCAAGACTTTAGCCGATCTGCTGGAGTGTAAGTATGACATGACACTGCAGATTATTGCAAAGGACCTTTGATTTGATTGCGAGGACAGTGAACAGACCTTAGCAGAATGTAGACGGCCGAAGTATACTTTGGGCTTTATTGTCTGAATTGCTTCTAAATTTTCTCTCTTTTTTTCTCCCCAGCATTCATTGCAGCTCTTTACATAGATAAAGACCTGGAGTTTGTGCACACATTTATGAATGTTTGCTTTTTCCCACGACTCAAGGTATGGCAAACTTAGAGACTATTTTGTTTTAACCCATGTTTATACGCCAGCACTTTATCTATCATTATAAGCAATGATTATGAATTGAAAAAATAGCATTCATTGAAAAGAATAAGGTGACATTTAAAAAGGTCATCATGGTCTTGTATTCTGACAGGGCTGTTTTTAATCTTCTGTGTGTGTACATTTGCAGTAGATATCATGTTATTTTAGCATCTTGTGCAGTGAATGCCCATTATTTAAAAGAATATGGTAATATAGCAGTTCTTGTCAAAAAGGAAATGGTCTTTTTTTTTCTCTTGTGAAAATTCATATTCATCAAACTGAGAATAGACTGATTTAGACACCCTCAACATGATGAAAGTGCATAAATGATATAAAATCACTCCTGATTACAGCACTGCTGGTTGAAAAAAAAAAAATACTAGAACAGGATTCCCAGTGAATCTGTCGCCACTTACTGTGTAAGCATTGAAAAGTTTGTAGACACTGGGATTGATCTAAAGAAAATCATCATGTAAAAGTTATGTATCCCATATCTGGTTTTAGCTTATACATCCACTGGCATGGAAGAAACCTGCTCAACTGATAGGTGTTTTTCCTAAAACAAAATTTTGTTAGTGGTTTGTGTTTGTATGTAAAAAATGTTTAACTTTTCAATGTACTTCTGTTTGATTGGTTAAATTATTGTTTCAGGAGTTTATCTTAAACCAGGACTGGAATGATCCAAAATCACAGCTGCAGCAATGTTGTCTAACCCTGCGGACGGAGGGCAAAGAGCCAGACATTCCTCTATACAAGTAAGAAGCTTCTGTCCATTAATGTCCTTTGATTTACCTCTTCGCCTTTTTCCACCTTTAATTATCTGTTTAAAGATATTTGCCTTGCGAAAGTATTCAAACCCCTTTATATA